CACTCCCCCTTTCCCTTAAGTTGTAAGTAGTATATAGGGAATTAACCAAATACTATTTTGTACCACAGCCTTTTTCCCGTGTTTTGAATCCCCCAAGCTTAACTCCCGATACTTGTGAGGGAGTTAAGCTTGGGGGATCAAAACACGGAAAAAAGGGCTGTGGTACAAAATGGTATTTGGCTAATCCCCTATATACCACTGATCAAACTTTTGATGAAAGCAATTTTTATTTTGACAATGGTGGGAGAACATTTTTATCGATTAACTAACTGATTGATAAAAGCAAATTTTGATTTATGACTGAGCTGGAATTGAGATCAAAATATTAGAAGTATCTCACCACAAAGCCTTGATATTTTGATTTCCACTCCTGCGGGAGGTACCGCACCACTTCTGACAACACTAGACCAGACCAAAAGGCAATGGGCGATTGCAAACAGTTGCTGACTTCTTAACATCGCCATTGTTTTAAAAATCCAAGGGCTGAGAACAAAACCTGAGTAGAAATTCAAGATCTAATGTTAATCAAGGAACAACTATAAAATATTCACTGTGGCAAAGTAAGATCCATGTTGATTTTATCCTTGTGTTACGAAAAGGAAGTATTGTTTTTGAGTGTGGTTTGAGAGTATAAGCGGGCTCGCAATTTGAAACCGAAACGTAGCGAGTAGTCTTCATTTTCACTATACCTCCCCTCTGGTTAACAAATCTCTTATCATAGCCCATATCATCTATCAACCGATTTTCAAACCAGATTCAAAAGCAAAGGCAAAGAAAGCTTTAAAGCTAATAAACTTGTTGCTGTTGAATGCTTTATTTTAGTGGTCAAATCGCTTTAAACCTACACCCAGCTATTTCTCAGGGATGCCACTTGAAAGAAAAGAAACAAATATTTAACATGAACATAATAGGGTTAAGAATTCCGACTGGTGGAAGGCACACCGTATTTACATGCGTGGCTGAGCAGTTGAATTAGGGTCTAGCGAGACACAACTCCTGTTTAGTGGTCAAAGCAGGACTGGAACCCGCTATCTCCAAATTTCAAGTCCGGAGCCCTAACAACTCGGCCATGCTGCCTCCTCTTGTAGCTCAAGAAAGCAGCCTGTATATCTGTCAGATACAGCTGTTTCCGCGGTAGGCACTTGGGGACTGGTGTTATTTTGTTTTTGTTTTTGTTTTTTGTGTGTGTGAAAGCTAAATAACAGGATTCGCGTATTCCTACTTTCAATTAGTAGTGGTTTCAATAGTTATGGACTGCCCACTGTTTCTGAATGATGAGAATTTCAGAGAACGTTTATCTTAAGT